CTCCCACTTCAGCCTTTGAAGTAGCTGAGACTATAGGCACTTGCTACCACACCTGGATAATTTTTTTTTTTTTTGGTAGAGTCAGGAATTTCACCGTGTTGCCCAGTCTTGTCTAACTGGACTTAAGCAATTCTCCTGCCTCAGCCTCCCAAAGTGCTGGGATTATAGGTGTGGGCCACAGCACCTGGCCTCTTGGCTTTTTGTGAGCCGCCTGAACATTTTTCACAATTGCATCTTGTTTTACTTATATATTTAAATATATAATTTGTAGAATGTTCTTGATGGTTGCCATTATTTATGAAAATATTCATTAGCAGCCAGGCATGGTGGCTTATGCCTGTAATCCCAGCACTTTGGGAGACCGAGGCAGGTGGATCACCTGAAATCAGGAGTTCGAGACCAGCCTGACCAACATGGTGAAACCACATCTCTGCTAAAATCCAAAAATTATCTGGGTGTGATGGCAAGCGCCTGTAATCCCAGCTACTCAAGAGGCTGAGCTGCCGTGCTTGGCCTTGCTGCCACATTTTTAACACTTATAGCATGCCAGGCATTGTAAATGAAATTTTTTGCTCTTGTCGCTTAGGCTGGAATGCAATGGTGCAGTCTTGGCTCCCTGCAATCTCCACCTCCCAGGTCCAGGGAATTCTCCTGCCTCAGCCTCCTGAAAAAATTGGTGGGCAAACCTCGGTCTAACTCTGGGCCAGGCAAGGTGGCTCATGCCTGTAATCCCAGAACTTTGGAAGGCTGGGACAGGCAGATCACTTGAAGTCAGGAGTTTAAGACCAGCCTGGCCTCTACTAAAAATACAAAAATTAGCCAAGCATGGTGGCACATGCCTGTAGTCCCAGCTACTTGGGAAGCTGATGCAGGAGAATCGCATGAACCCGGGAGGCAGAGGTTGCAGTGGGCTGAGATCATGCCATTGCATTCCAACCTGGGTGACGGAGCAATACTCCATCTCAAAAAAAAGAAAAAAAAAAAAAACAAAAAAAAAACCCCGTAGGTTTAACTCTAAAGGATATGCCTTAAAATGTAATATGTTACTTCATTAATATTATTTTTGTGATGTAGATTTTGTATTTAAATTATAATTTAATGTATTTTGTCTCATTTCCTAGGTTTTGATGATGATGGTTCAGAATTTCATGAACATATATTTCTGGAGAAACACCTGGAGGGCTTTCCAAAACAAGGACCAATTCGCCATTTCATGGAGCTGGTGACTTGTGGCCTTTCCAAAAACCCGTATCTTAGTGTTAAACAGAAGGTTGAGCACATAGAGTGGTTTAGAAATTACTTTAATGAAAAACAGGACATTCTAAAAGAAAGTAACGTACAATTCAATTAAGACCATGGAAATTTTATTTCAAACAATTAGAGATGGATATTACAACTAAATAAAATAATTTTACTAGTTTGTATATGTTACGTAGATTATTACATTTGATTTGGCTGGTATAAGTGTTACATTGTTTTAAAAAATATGGCAACTGAAAAATATTCTTGCATGGGGAAAAATCAGTATTCACATGTAATTATTACATATAATTACATATTATAGAGAATATATATTATAGAGAATATATATTGTTTTATATATATTCTCTATATGTTCTCCAAAATATATATACATTCTCTATAACATGTAATTATATAACATTTTTCATATTCATATTAAACAAGTATATGAATATATACATAATTGTGTGTATGTATTATATATTTATGTATGTAGTTACATAATTTGTGTACAATTAATCCTGTTCCTGGGAAGCATACCCCCGAAAAAATCCTTGCAGTTAAGGGCTGGGAAGCAAAGTACAGAACAAAACAGTACAAATCAGGGGAGAATGTGCCCAACACCCAGAGAACTGATAATAAATTGTGGTTTATCCATGCAATGGAACACTATATGGAAGTAAAAATGATTAAAATAGAGCTATACACATCATCATAGATGAATTTCAGAAACAATGCTGAGTGAAAAAGCAAGTTGCAGCAGAATGCATGCAATATAATAGTATTTTACAAAATTCAAAAGCCAAATTTTGAATATACTTTCTTAGCTATAAATGTGATAAACTATAAAGAAATGCACAGGAATGATCAACATAACATGGTGATTGAGGAGGGACACAGGGACCTTGACAGTACTATCATTCTGTTCCTCAAGTTGGATGGCAGGATCACAGGTGGTCATTTCATCATGCTTTTGTGTATACTCATTATATGATGAATATATTATCATTATATTACAATATATGTTATTAATATACATTATATACATATTTTGTGTGTAGCAGTGTTTCATAATATTTTAAGGAATGAATGGAAATGGGCATGTAATGAAGATACGCAGTGCTTAGCCATCAGGTGAGTCTCAGAATTATCAGATTCCAAGATAATTCCTATACAAAAACAAGCAAACAAAGGGCATGTGATCTAGAATGAAAAGACCATCCGTATTTGATTTGAGATGATTAAATAGGAAATCCTGCTTTTAAGGATGGCATTTGTTATATGCTTGGAAGTGTTTTGAAGCAGAAATTGGTTGTGAATAAATCTTCTCCTTATTAATAAAATATAAGCTTGTTTTTAATGTCAGATTATCCCTGCCGAGAAATTAAAATTTGGAGGTAGGCCAGGCATGGTGGCTCACGTCTGTAATTGCAGCACTTTGGGAGGCCAAAGCAGGCAGATCACTTGAGGCCAGGAGTTTGAGACCAGCCTGGCCAACATAGTGAAACGCCATCTCTACTAAAAACACAAAAATTAGCCAGGCATGATGGCAGCCACCTGTAGTCCCAGCTACTTAGGAGGCTGAGGAAGGAGAATCACTTGAACCCCGTAGGTGGAGGTTGCAGTAAGCTGAGATCTTACCATTGCACTCCAGCCTGGGTGACAGAGCGAGACTCTGTCTCAAGAAAGAAAGAAATAAAAAAATAAAGGAAGAAAGGAAGGAAGGGAAGGGAAGGGGAGGAGAGGGGAGAGGGGAGAGGAGAGAGGGGAGAGGGGAGAAGAGGAAAGAAAGAGAGAGAGAGAGAGAAAGAAAAGGAAAGAAAGAAAGAAAGAAAGAAAGAAAGAAAGAAAGAAAGAAAGAAAGAAAAAGAAAGCAAGCAAACAAGCAAAGAAAGAAAGGAAAAGAAAAGAGAAAAGAAAAAAAAAAGAAAGAAAGAAAAGGAAAGAAAGAAAGAAGGCTGGGCCTGGTGGCTCACACCTGTAATCCTAGCACTTGGGAGGCTGAGGCAGGTGGATTGCCTCAGCTCAGGAGTTCGAGACGGGTGAAGCCCCATCTCTACTAAAATACAAACAACTAACTGGGCGTAGTGGCCTGTGCCTGTAGTCCCAGCTACTCAGGACGCTGAGGCAGGAGAATTGCTGGAACCCGAGAGGCGGATGTTGCAGTGAGCTGGGATTGCACCACTGCACTCCAGCCTGGGCGAAGAGTAAGACTCTTGTCTCTTAAAAAAATAATAAATAACTAATTAATTAAATTAAAATTAAAATCCTGGCTGGGCGCAATGGCTCATGCCTGTAATTCCAGCACTTTGAGAGGCCAAGGCGAGATCAGGAGTTCGAGACCAGCTTGGCCAACATGGTAAAACCCCGTCTCTACTAAAAATACAAAAATTATCTGGGCGTGAGGGCAGGCACCTGTAGTCCCAGCTACTCGGGAGGTTGAGGCAGGAGAGCCCGATAGGTAGAGGTTGCAGTGAGCTGAGATTGCACCGTTGCACTCCCAACAATTAATTAATTAATTAATTAAATAATTAAAATTAAAATCCTGGCCGGGCACGATGGCTTATGCCTGTAATCCCAGCACCTTGGGAAGCCAAGTTGAGGCCAGGAGTTCAAGACCAGCCTGGCCAACATCGCAAAACCCCGTCTCTACTAAAAATAGAAAAATTAGCTGGGCACAGTGGCAGGCAGCTGTAATCACAGCTACCCTGGAGGCTGAGGCAGGAGAATCGCTTGAACCCAGAAGGCAGGGGTTGTACTGAGCTGCCTGGGTGACAGAGCAAGACTCCATCAAAAAAAAAAAAAATCCTGGAGGTAGTATTACTTATAACCTCGATCACTTATTAATTAACAGAAATTTAATCCTTGATTTTATAATATCTTTCTGTAGAGTTTTGTTTTGGTTTTGCTTTGTTTTCAGAAAAGACAGGTGCATTTACCCTCGTAGGGATGACCATTGGTATTTTAACAGATAAGACATTTGCTGAGAATTCCTTAAATTTTTCTAATTTTTCACTAGCCAGTGATAACATTGTCCCTTTTTTGCAGGTAGCTTTGAAAGATGGTGATACCTCCACAGTTGGGACCTTGTTGTTAAAAGCATCCTTTGACCATTTACACATGTGGTTCTAAAGAATGTATTATCTTTAGATTCTTGGTTCTAAAGAATGTATTATCTTTTTTTCTTTTTAGAAGGAGTCTCACTCTGTCACCCAGGCTAGAGTGCAGTCTGCAGTCTCAACTCACTGCAACCTTCAGCTCCCAGGTTTGAGCAATTCCCCTGCCTCAGCCTCCCAAGTAGCTGGGATTACAGGCACTTACCACCATGCCCGGCTAATTTCTGTTATTTTTAGTAGAGACAGTGTTTCACCATGTTGGCCAGGCTGGTCTCAAACTCCTGACCTCAAGTGATAACCCCCGTCTTGGCCTCCCAAAGTCCCTTGAGATTGCAGGCATGAGCCACCTCGCCTGGCAAGAATGTATTATCTTAAGACTCTTGTCTCATTACTGTTGTTAAAATTGCTCTAAAACTTGCCTAAGTAATTAGCTTTAAATTATGTAAATACAGACAACAAAACTCTCTTAATCCTAAAGGTGTTTTTAAAATTCAGGGATTTATGCATATATGCAAATTGGCTACAAATTGGGAAGATTTCATTCTAAGTAGCCAAATCTTAAGGTGCTGAAGCCAACCTGCTTTATAAGATATATTAATGCAAGGACTAAGCAGTTTCTGAAAACAGACGGATTTACTATGCTTCTTAATATTTTCTCAAACTAGAATATGAGCGATGGTGGCAGAGGGAGGAAGTAGCTCATACTTGGAAGAACAAACAGTTGCTGGAATATGCTTGTGGTTTAGACCTTCTTTCAAAAACCCAGTTAGCTGCAAAAGAAAGAAGGACTAATATTCTCCATGATTCCAGTAACGTCTTTATGAAAATGCTCCTTTTGAATGTAGTACAGAAAGTTAGAAAACACTTAGGCATGGTATCTGGCATAGTGCCCCCAAGGGAGTGTTTCATATACAGACAGTCTGGGACTTATGCTTCGACTTAACATTTTTCAACTTTATGATGGTTCCAAAGGCAATGCACATTCAGTAGAAACCATACTTCAAGTCCCGATACAACTATTCCGTTTTTCATGTTCAGGATGTTGTTCCCATAAATTATATGAGCTATTCAACACTTTATAATAAAACAGGATTTGTGTTAGATGATTTTGCCCAACTGCATGCTAATGTAAGTGTTCTGCGTATGTTTAAGGTAGGCTCGGCTAAGCTCTGATGTTCAGTAGGTTAGGTATTAAAGGCACTTGACTTATGATATTTTCTCTTCCCAATAAACCCATCGTAAGTCAAGAAGCACTTGTGTCTGATAGAGGTCTACCTTCACCAGTTTAAACTGACAAATTTAATGTTCTTGTCTTGCTTTTAAATTAGAGAGCAACAGCAGATCTGAAATAAATACTGCAGTTAGCTTTGCGTTCTTCACTATTTATTGAACAACTCAGAGGGCAAGGAAGCAAAGAGAAATGCTCTGAGTGTGTCTTTGCTTGCCAGCTCCTGAATTGTTAGCAATTCTACACCGCTCCAAGGCAGGGAAGTGGGGCAAGTGGGGCAAGATGGTTTACATCTCGAATGGACAAGTGTTGGACAGCCAGAGTCAGTCTCCATGGAGATTATCTTTGATAACAGATTTCTTCTGGGGAATAGGTTAGTTTTTGGTTTTGTTTTTCAGCAAGATGTGAAAACAGAAGAAGCTATGGAAACTCGCCTGATTCCAGGTAGGATGATGGTAGAGGGCCACCAGGAAACCTTCCCCAAAGAATGGGTAGAATCGGTCATCTTTGTGGCCCCAGTCCTCCTCCAATGGCTAGTGAATGAAGAAGGCAAATGTCTACTCTAAGAAGCAGACAACTGGACATGCGCATTCATAGCAGAAGGAAACCATCAAGAAGTCAAGGGCTGACCATGCTGGAGCAATAGATGAATGTGTATGTCTAAATAAGGACTACTGTGTCCTCACAGATGAATGAGGTCATGCTGGGAATTCCCTCTGCAGGAAACTGGCTGACTGACATACAGTTCCATAAAGCACACATGTTTGTCTCATTACCTTTTTTGTACAGTTTGTTAAAGTATTAATATAGTTTTGATAAGAAAATATTTTTAGGTTGC